CACACACACACAGAGAGAGAGAGAGAGAGACACGAGTGGATGCACAGATAGTGGAGTGGATTCTGTCTACCAGAGAAATGCAGACAATCTGCCCCAGGAGATGATCAAGGGGAGGAAGGACAGAAGAGGTCTCCCTCCCTAAGTCTGGAAGGTAGCAGGGAGAGCAGAGTCAGGAGGCAGAGGGGAGAACTGCACTCACCCTGTAGAGCTGGGATGGCCTTCCACACAGACACAGGCCCCTGGCTGGCAAACTGGCCCAGTGACACCTCTAGGAAGAAGATAGGCAAGCCAGCCAGTGCTAGCATCATCAGGTAAGGGATGAGGAAAGCACCTTGGAAAGACAGGGGGAAGAAAGAGTCAGGAGCCATAGGCAGGGCTCTGGCCCAACTTAACCCTCTGGGCTGGGCTGGGCTCCTTAGAATAAACTGAAGAGGCTTTGGATGTCCCAGCTCAACAGAAGGCAACCACAGGGTAGTTTAGGGCCATCTTACAAAAATCATAAAAACATCCGTGGGAATACAATTCTTGCTTCGATTTCCTACCAGACAGGAAGATGTGTGCTAATGGTCTTTTGTTCTTCACAATGCTTCATTTCCCACCCACTCCCAAATTAAGCCCTTCCGTAGTTCGATAAATGCATGCCTTTCACTGGAGGCAGATTTAGTGGATTCCCATCAATGTCTAGGCCCTCTAAGGACCTACACTCAGCTAAGCTGGATTTGGGGAGTCTCTTATATAATAATCCAAGGGAACCACACACCTTCACCCCACCAGAGCTTGGCCTGTTCTGCCTGAGGACAACTGTATGGCCACTCATTCAGCCAAGTCTCTGCCCACACACACCAACGCTTCAGGGGGCATCACCTTCACACATTTCTCAACTTCCTTCTCAGCTCAGAACTCACTCCTCAGCCCTCCTTCTCCGGAAAAGTCTTCCCATGGTCCCTGGCCCCCAGCGCCATTATCTTCAGAATATTTATGTGGCTATCTTGTCTAGACTGTGAGCCCCCAGAAGTGTTTCTCCTTCAACTCTGTTCCTCAAAAGGCCCAGAGGAAGCTGCAGGGCCTCTGCTGCCTTGCTGGATTCTGGAGAGTTTTTTCTCCGCAGGGATTCTCAGGCCCAGAGGGAATTACCAGGGACACCCTCACAGGAGTCAGAGTCAATTTGGGGAGTAGAGATAACAGAGTCCAGAGGCCTGTGCTCAGGGGAGGGAACTACATTCCTCTCCTTCCCCTGACTTCTTCCGGGTTGGTCAAGCAGAAGGGTGGTTCCTGCTGGAGCCTCCAGACAGGAAGGTCCCAGCAATTGCCGGGAACTACTGGGCTGTAGGCTTGGGCTCCCCCTCTACTCTCTCTAGATAGAAACTTTTTAAAAATAACATTAAAATCCTTTATTGTGAGACCCTTCCTGTCCTGAGGAGGTAGAGCCAAGCTCCCCACTCTTGCTGTAGGGCGCCTGAGCCGCACTGCGGACAAAGCCGGGGCTTTTCTCCGCAGCCCCCTTAAGGCCCCCAGGACTGGGTGAATCAAAGGCGGGCGTTTGCTCGGGCAAAAGCGCTCTGTTGGAGCTCTCCCCTGGCTCCATCCCCACACACCAACCCTCTTCCGGGTTCCTGCAGCTATAGGACCTGCACCTCCTCCCACCCTCCTGCACTCACTAGGGACGCCCTGCTGGGGAAAAAATAATGAAAACCCAGCTGGGGCACTTAGCCCCCTCAGTTTCCGGAGCACCCCTGACTACCAACACTCCGCAGGCAGGCCGCATTAAGACATGTCAAGTGTCTTGTTCGGAACTGGAGGTGCGGGGTGTGGAGGAGGATGTCTTCTATCTTACATCGTAACTGTGCCCGGTTGCAGCACGCGTTCCACTCCGACACCAAATACCTCCTGGAGTGGACCTAAACCCGGGCCAGAGGACTAGGCGAGGGGCGCATTCCTTGCACCTTTAGTCCAATAGAGGTTGAATTCCCCCTGTTAGCTGTCCTGGAGTGAGCAGCCAGCCCCTGGCCTCAACCTCAGGCGGCAAGCCAAGGGACCCTGACTGTATTGAGTCCCTTCCTGGTGGGAACACCGGAGATCCAATGAGTTCTAATGCATGCGCCTTGGCGCCCCCACTCTTCTTTCAAAGGCAGCGTCTTTCATAGAGTGGGAACACGAGGAAGAAGATTCATCTTTGCTGAACGATTGAACTAAAATCAAAACACCTCCTGCCTCTTCTCAAGGGATGTTGAGGTGGGGTTCTCCTGAGAAACCTCCGATTAGGTACATCCCAAGCCCCCCACTGCTCGCTTGCACCCTGTATTCTGCCAAAGTTGTTCTTTTCACCGCCTCCAACCTAGAAGGAAGCTCGGATTTCTCAGTTACAACCAGACACAATTCAACCTCCAGGACAGCAGGGCATCCGGCTCGAAAGCGCATTTCCTGCCATCAAGTACAAGCTTCCAGACTGACCGGCATCTAACTAAGAGTTCACGCATCCCTGCTTCCCTGTACACCTGGTTGGAGACCCAGTACCCAGCCTGAGCCAGTTGAGGATCTCTAACGTGGCCTGTGCCTCAGCTGAGCCCATCTCCACTCTGAAATCCAACGAGTTCCATTCGCTCCTGCAGTTTGGCCTGCAAAAGCAGGCTGCCCCAAGCTTCCCTCCCAACCTCCGCCTAAGGTCTTCGGATTCATCCCCCAACCCTCCAGTGCCCGCCCCCTCCGCAGGCGGAAAGAGCTGAAAAGCCATACCTCCCCCGTTCTGGAAGGCCAGGTAGGGAAACCTCCATACATTGCCCAGCCCCACTGCGTACCCCACCATGGACAGGATGAAGTCCAGTTTGCTGGACCAGTTCCCTCGGGCCTTATTCTCATCCCCTTGCTCGTCCTCCTGAGGGCGGAAAAGCACATTGTTGGATAGCAGACCCAGATAGGTCGTCAGCAGGCCCCATTCTGCCCTCCCCCAACAGCTGAGGGTCCTTCCCCCGCAAGCAGACCCCCAATTTCCAAGAGGATGCATCGGCAAGCAATACCCCAAATCCGAAGAAAGGATGCATCTACGAGCAGAGCCCTCACCCCTCACCCCTGCACTGAGTCTTTTAGCAAGCAGGCCCCCAAATTTTATTCTAAAGATCCACTTCAATCAGACCTCTGACCCTGTTTCCCAAATCCTCCAGTCAGGGCACACCAGCAAGCAGCCTTCCCCAAACCCTACTCCTGTTAGCAAGCACGTCTGTCCCTTCATATCCAACCTCTCACCAGGAGTTCATTTGGCAAGCAAACCCCCAATATCATGCCTGGAGTTCCCAGCAAGCAGGTTCCTAACCAATTCCTCCCCCCAACCCCACACCACACACCCCTCCTCAACCCTTTCTTCAAAATGTGTGCCAGAAATAAGAATTTTAATGCTTAAAGCCAGCCATAGCCCCTGCCTCACTTTCTCTGCCAAAGTTTACAGCAGGCAAAACCTGTCTAGTCAGCTAATTTAAAAAGGTTCATCCTTCAAACCAGGAGCAAGGGAAATGGGCAGGGCGGAAACCTGGAGGTGAAAGAGAGAAAGAATCGAGAAGATTGAAGTGGTAAAAGACAGGCCAGCCAGAACCATGACTTCTGAGCTGGATCTTACTACTAAGCCAAGACAACTCCCTGCAAGTGGCAGGGCCTCATCCTGTGTCCACATCCAGACAATGGGGGCCTCTCTGAGGCATCTGCCAACTTAAATAGTCTGTGAATCTTGACCTCCTGTCTCCAACCTCATGTGCACCTGATTCTAGAAATCCTCAGCCAAATGATTGGGGGGCACCCTGTTTGAACTCTGAAATCAGTGTTCTTGACATCCAGACACTGGGGTAGCCTGCTCCCCAGCTCACTCTTCACCTAGCAAGTGACAGCTTGGAGTGCTTCACAAGGTTCTCCGGGTCAAGGAAGATAAGGCAGCCATGGTCAAGAGAGAAGACAGCCTAGGAGCAGGAGATGAAGGACTGAATGAGTGTCAGAAGGGGCTGAAACATTGGCACTCTTAGGCTTCTCTGGCTCTTTAAAGTTCCATCGCTGTTCCTCCCACACTCCTAGCCCCACCCTCCAACACAGCTCCTTTTGTCGCAATGCAGAGGTAAAGGGAGGTGTGTCGAACATAATTTCTATTCCACTACTGGGTACATGCTGTAAGAAGCACCTAATATGCAGAACAATGTTCTAGAAAGAAATGCCCAAAGCAAAGAAATGTGTAAATACAAGTTTATTTCTAGTTACTCTGATGGCTGGGTGGCTGAGTTCCTACTATGTAAGTTCTGGGGGATGGGATGCAGGTGATTAGGGACAGAAAGCTCTCTAAACCCTAAATGGTACGTGGTGGTAGGTAGCAATCTGACCACTCTCAGCCTGCTCTGGCCACACACCTAGCTCATGAGTCCAAGGTTGAAGGGAAGCTAGAGGAAGAGCTGGAATCCTTGAAACAGCACTAGGGAAAGAGAAATATGAGAAGGGAGAGAAATCACTGGGGTGAAACAGAAACAAACAAAAACCTCTAGAGAGGGAAGATTGCCTTTATCACTGGTCCAGAGATTGGGGTTCACTCTGCAGGCTTCTTTCCTGTCTCTGGTTAAGGGGTAAATACAGGAGAGATCCAAATGGAAAGGACCTGAATTGAACCTTATGCAATTCAGAGGGCCTGTGTTAGGGGAAAATTTCTAAATTAGATACTGAGATTTGGAAGGGCCTAGGTTAAGAGACCCTGATTCTTAATAAACTTCAGCAGCCTTTCATTAAAAGAGTTCACAGGTAGTACATTTGGCTCACCAGAAAAAGCTCTCAAAATAAGCTTCATCCACCTCCCATACCACCCCAGGCTTGTCTCGGGGCTTCTTTTTGAATCTGAGTTTTTATTTTTGAAGACACGAAAAGACATTGATAGGATAGGTACTCGCGTCTGTGGCAAGATGCAGAATCTATGCTTATATTTAACGGATCTGCACCAGTTCTATCGCTGAGGCTGGGAAGGGCAAGTCCGAACCTTGCTGGCACTGTCACTGCACACATTCGTACACCCCAAACCTTAACTGATGACCTGACCCCTGCCCCCCCCCAGCAGTGCGAGCTTCCGAAGCCCCAAAGCTTACTCCAGCATCCACCACCTGGCATTGGCAACCCGTTTCCCCATCAGCATACGTGCACCCGCCAGGGCCCAGCCTCCTTCTCGCGGTTGGAGAGCAGCAGGCAGCACAGCCGCTTGTGACCTGCTTACCGGTATGGTAGTGGTGGCCACGCTGCCTGGAAGCACCGACGCGATGCCATCGGTACCCAACACCACAGTGCTCTGGCTCATGTTCACCCAGCCCACGGCTGGGGTATTGTTGTGCTCCAGCGTGCCCTTGCCCACACTCACATTCACGTCCTCCTCCGGGCCACGCAGAGCTGGGATCTTGCAGTGCAGCGTGTTGCTAGCCCCAGCGGCCACGGAAGGGGGGTTGGCCTGTGCGCTGTGCCCTTCGCTTAAGTCCCGGAGGGCCCCGGAGGTCGCTTGTGCCCGGGGGCTGCTGAGTTTACAAAACCGCACTCCGGGCTGCTGGGCCTCGTAGGTTCTCGCATCCGCGGACTGGAAAGTTTGGGCGCCTGTGGAAGCTGACCTGGGCACACGTGGTGGCGCGGTTGTAGCCGCGGCGGCCGCTGGCAGGGCCCCCCCCGGGCTGGGCCCGGG